TGCCAGTCATGAGACCTGAACTCTGGGTCTGGGCACTGTCCCTCAGCTCTTCAGCTCAAGGCTAGCGCTCTACCACTGGAGCCACAGCGCCACTTCTGGCTTTTTGTGTTTATGTGGTGCTGAGGAATCGAACCCAGGGCCTCATGCTTGCAAGGCATGCACTCTACCGCTGAGCCACCTTCCCAGCCCCCAGGCCATACATTCTTATAGAACAGTGCTTCCAAACCTTTCCATAGATTAGCCTGCAGAGAAAAATCTTGTTTTTCTGGTAGAATATGTTGGGTAATCTGGACAGCCAGTCATAGGTTAGGCTGTTCATAGCTTGACTTGACCAGCTCCAGGGCTCTAGCAGTATCAGATCCCAGATCCCAACAGCCTGCCTGAGGACAAGGGTCATCTTTTTGTTGTTTTGTTACCATTTTGGAGTTTGAACTCTGGACCTAATACTTGCTAGTCAAGTGCTCTACCACCTTGGCTACATCGCTGATATTTTTACTTATCTATGTTTCAGATAGGATCTCATACGTTGGCACAGGGCCAACCTTGAACTTTGATTCTCCTACTTATGCCTCCTGTTTGGCTAAGATTATCAATGTATACCATTATGTCCAGTCTCTTTCTTTTCTTTTCTTAATTTGGTGCTGGTTCTGGGGCTTGAACTCAAGGCCTACTGCTTTCCCTGAGCTCTATCCACTCAAGGCAAGTGCTCTGCCACTTGAGCCACAGCTCCACTTCTGGCTTTTTTGGGTGGTTAATTGAAGATAAAGAGTCTCACAGACATTCCTGCCCCGGCTGGCTTTAAATCATGATCCTCTGATCTCAGCCTCCTGAGTAGCTAGGATGATAGGTATGAGCCACTAGTGCCCAGCTGAGATTTAACTTTTTGCTTGTATGAGCCTTGATCCACAGAGGTCAATATCTTAAATATTCTGGATGGAGTGCTGCTATAGTTTACTTCTGCTAAGACACTTATATGTGACTTTCAGTGAGCGCAATTCCTGTACAATTCTTTCTTCACAAGGTCTGCAAAGGATTCAAAAGATGGTTCAGTCCAACCTGATCATTTTATAGAGTCCCAGAAAAGAAAAGTGTAAACTCTGAACTAAAATTCAGTCTTCAAACTAAATCCAGATTTGTCTCTTACAGGATGCTATGTTCCCTATAAATGTTCATACTGGCCACTCTACATTCCCCAATTCTTGAGTAAGAAAAAAAAATTACTCAAACTAAAAAAAATGGAGGCTGGGTACTGGTGGCTCATGCCTATAATCCTTGCCACTAGGAGGCTAAGAGCTGAGGATCACAGTTAGCAGCCACCATGGGCAGAATAGTCTGAGACTTATCTCCAATTAACTGGCAAAAAAGCAAGATATGAAGCTATACTTCAAGTAGCAGAGTGCTAGCCCTGAACACAAAAATTCAGGGACAGTGCCCAGGCCCTGAGTTCAAGCCCCA